AATGGCATAAAGGAATGTCCACTGAGCTGGACTCGCACTCTGGGAGAATTCCTCGAGGAACGTTTATAAAGTCTGTTGCACATCTGTCGTGTGCGGTGATGGAGTGAGCTGTGCCGACCTGACTCTGTGTCACTGCAGCCAGGGAACAACTTGAACCACTAGAGGTCGGCAAATAACAACATATTCAGCTGCTTTAGGCTAAAGCAGTGCAGATGTCCGGCTGCTGAGGCCTGGATTTGGCATTTTGGATTTGGGTGTGTCTGTGATGTCACAAAACCAGCCGGCTGACAGCCAAGCTGCTCTCCGTTTAACTGGTGCTCAGGTGCCTAAACTATGTTCTCCTCCCAAAACAAGTTGTGTACAAAGGTTGAAAAGCCATAACACCACGGGAGCCTCTTCCCAGTGTTACTCTCTCGTCATCTCTTCCATTTGTGCAGCAGATATCCAGGAACACAGCAGCTCCTGTTGGGACACTTCCCAGTAAATATAGCCTCCACTGGCCCGCAACCCGAACACAGGCTGCTCTCCCTCCCCAGTGCAGCCATGGAAAGCTTTCTTGCTTGTTAGTATTTCCGGGTCCACAGCCTGGTGGCCTTTTATTGTTGTTATGGTTGAAGGCTGCTCCAAAGATTCAGTGCATTTCCTTATCACCGTTACTCACACACTCCTTCCTTCCTTAAACCGAAGGAAGGGAGCCGTCTCCTGTTGCTTTGTTACATTTATACCAACACTTTTCTGTCGGGTGATTGTTGATGATTCTCGCTGCCTTTTTAATGAAAATAAAGAAAAGTGAAACATGTTTGTGTTGCTTGGTTGTGATTGGCTGCCACTGCCACCGTAGCAGCTACTCTTCATAACTCTTCGTGGGGCCCACACAAGGAAACGTTACTTTAAATGTGTAGTTCAGAATCCTGAAACAAAGAAAACAAACAAACTACAACAAGCTTCCAGATATTGTTGGTGGATTTTTGTTGTCAGTGGGCAGGTCACTGCTTCGGGATGTGTTATTGTTATTGTTTACCATTTCTACTAAAGTAACCCACAAAAATACCAACCCAAGCCCTCACAAGAAATTTTAGAGTTTTAGCTACTGGCTTTACTGATGTTACTGACTCATACTAATATCATGATACTTAATAGATCTGTTATAAAACTGTAAATAATAATAATGAACAATCCATTTGGCTGGAATTTATCAACATTTATAATGCAGATTACTTTTTTTAACTGAAAAAAATGTATTAAAATATTTATAAACATTGCAGACATGTACTAATCCTAATGGTAAAGAGATATGAATTTAAGTAAATAAATTGAAATTATAATAAAATTTAAAAAGAAAATAGAATTTGGAGATAGAAACTTAAACAATGTATAAAATGATAAGACAAAAAACGAATTAACCATACATTGGACAGTTGTATCTCTTTTGTTGGTGTTTGTAAGTTTGAGTCTTATATATATATATTCTTTAAAATCAGATAGAAATACGGTGAAATTGGCGCTAGTTTTAGTTATTTGACATTAAATTGACTATGTTTAATCAATAACTTTACCATGAATGTTCATGTTCATGTTATGTTCAAAATGTGTGACACTTTTACAATCAATTTTGATATTATGATATATTATTTACACAACAAATAATCTTTCATCCAAGTCCAAAAAGTAAGATTTGTGCATTGTGAAATAAATGTGTTATACACTCTGGTTCATCATTACAGAGATTACATTTTATTTCAATTTCTATGAAATCTGGAGAAATATAAATTGTCTGGATATATATTATATATGTGTAAAATACAGCTTTGTCTTTAATCTTGTTATATCTTTAATATATATCTATATATATTGTATACAGAATGCATATGGTAATAGCTGAGCTCTTTTCCAATCAGAACCTTTAAGAATGTTCTCCCAAAAAAGCTTTTCCTCTGGGAGTCATTTTCCTTCTTTCTTTGAATGTATATGTTTATTTAGCATTCGTGATGTCAATAGTAGAATACATGTTACATCAAAGGATTTATGACGAAGTAATCGTTTATAACTACTTAATCACTTAAATAAAAAATATCTTTATCAACCCAATTTTGTTTAGTTTTTTTCCGCGGCAGTAATGTCTCCATTATTATTATTATTATGGTTTTGTGTGGAAGGCAACTTATTCATGGTACAATTACAAGTTAGTAGAACATAAAAAAACACCCATTTTTCTAGAAATATTGCATTTGATTTGGAAGATTAAAGTGCCGTTGGGTAGAGATGGAAAGCAACAAGAGAACAAAGTAATGCCTGTTAGGTAGGGCCTCTTACCGGGAACCACACTACTGGAAATTGTGATTATTTTTATTTGAAAATGTTGTTTTGTAGGGCACACTTTTAGGCTATTTATGTAAATAGACTATTTATGTAAATAGTTTATGTTTCATCTGCAAGATCTTCCTCTGGCACTGTGCCATACAGTTAAGTATTAAGTATATCTTTGCCACAAACTTGGTCCCTCTTCTGAGATTATTTAGTAAAATGCGTTTCTTTTCATTTGGATGGTTTGTTCTGGACGAGGCTCAGGAGATGGAACGCCTGTCTAGTAATGGGATGTCCCTGGTTCGGTCCTGTCAAAGTGTCCTGTGCAGCCTCTGCCTTGAATGTGTGTGTGAATGTTGCCACACATGTAGTGAAGCGCTCTGAGCGGTTGGTAGACTTGAACAACATTATATTCATGCAGTCCCTTCACTATGTGGATGTGAGGAAAAGTGACAAAGACAAATCAGTAATTAATGATTGATCTGCCTTGGAGCAACACAAATACGCTCCAAATCTCCAAGTACCAAAGATTGATAGGAACATTCTATGCATGAACGCTCCATCAGTTATTTATTTATTATATTAAAACTCGACCGAAATAATCCCTGCACTGGGACAATCGACAACTCTGCAACCATTTGCAATTCAGTAAAAGTTGAAGACAACGTAAAATAGCTGTATGAATGTTGGACTTTTAACTTATGGCAACTGTTCAGTTACATGAAACTGAGCACTTTCTGATCAATCAAGATCAAGAAAGTCAAAATACAAATACCTTCCCACCCAATCCATTCAACATTTCCCCGGCTGAATTACACCACTAAGGGGAGCCGTTGCACCATCATGAACTTCACACGCGGAAACCTGAACTCCTGTCAGATTGGGTTGGGCAATACCAAACATTTTGTCACAATTTTATCAACAGATACTGATCATTTCTTAATAGATCATTATGTTCAAATCCTACACACTGCACCTTTAAGACACGTAAAAGCTTCTAAATTCACCAGAGTTGTATTTACTGACATTTTTCTGACTATCACATTTCAGTCCAGTTTCTTCAGATTCAGGGTCATGGGTCTCATCTGTGGAAGAACTTTGCCAAAAAATTATAGTTAAAAGTGTGCAACTAACCGGGGATTTAATATCAATGCTAACAAAAAAATTGTTTTGGGAGATCATAAGCAAAATCAATAGCATAGCTCGGAATAATGACCCCTTGGCAGGAAATGTGGAATAATGAGAGTAAGGGTAGAAATGATAACAAAATTCAGATGTCAGTCAGAGTGAGAAGTGACACTCAATGTAAAAAACAGTGCCAGATAAATATGAGCCATGTAAGTGAGGAAACTGTTGAACATGTGCTGATCAGATGTAGCAGTTTCAGTGAGGAAAGAGAAAGACTGAGGGGCAAGGTGCTAGATATGAAAGAGAGTGCAGCATAGAGACAGGGGATGAACAAGTTAAAAAGGCTTTAATTAAATATTTGAATGAAAAAGGTTTAATATCCAGAATAGAACTTCCTAATAAAGTCATGATGTTTATTAATATTACTCGGTGTGACTCGAAATAACTGCTCCATGTTCACTTTGATGACGAATTGATCAAAGAAAACAGACAGTACCAGTTTTCTAACCTCATCTTACATTTTCGAAACCACAAACATAAAAATGACATAACCACGTTCAGCGGAGTCTTATCTCTCTGATGATATCAATACGTTGTTAATTGGACTCATGGCTTTTGAATTGGGGGCTTTGACAGGTAGTTTTGTTCAAAATCACTGTCTGTCATTGTCTTATGACTAAGAGCAGCCAAGTTACATTTTTTTAAATGTTTGCACACAGTTCAAAACATGTCAGTTCCTCATGGTATGACTTGGCTATGACAAAGAAGTTTTTCAAATGAGGAGCTAACATCCAGCCCAATCAGCAGAATATTACAGGATTTACACGAAGGTCAATGTGAAGTTTTAAATAAACGATGTCTTAATTGTAGGTTTCTTCTCACTGTAGATCAATACTTAAAATAAAGTTGAAGATGCTTTTGAAATAAATACCCGGACTAAGATTACGTAGCGCCAGTGAAAATATGAATTTTGAAATGCTTCTGTTCTGTGTGCATGTGAGGAAACCTTACTTTTGACCCCTGGCTAGAGCAGTTGATGAAACATAAAATTCTGGAACCACGTTTGATATTTTAATAACACAATACTCAGAATGTGTCACCGTCTGTTCGGATGAGTGTGGATCAGTGATTACAGCTGAGATTTACACTTTACCATTATTATTATTATTATTGTCACTGTAGCATGTAAAAAAGTGTAACAATATCAGTACCTAATATCCAAGCTTTGCTTCAAATGCTGATATTTAAAAGTACTGAAATGGTGAGGTGGGCGTAGTGGTGAAATGGTGAAAGCGTAGACTTGTATTCTGTGACAAATTCTTGAATCTATGAAGGATAGCTCCTCTCAAGTTCAACACTGTCAATCAGAAAAACATAAATGATAGCGATAGCTACATTTTCTAGTTGTTATTATTATTATTGTTGTTTTTGTCTTTGAATTACAAAACTGTCATGAAGCCATGATGTTACACACTCCGGTACAGTAAGTGGCGGCATGCACCTTTAACGTTTGTTTGTAGTCTACTAGAGAAGAAGAACAAGATCAAACCGGAAGTGCGTAACCACCTGACGACACCGCTGCCATTTTGACGACGGGAACACCGGAAAGCTGGGATACTGCCTGTTTGGTTTCAACGGTGTTAGTTACACTTAAAAATATACCACAATGGCTATGCAAGCAGCAAAACGCGCCAATGTAAGTCTGAGCGAGTCCGCTGTTCTTTGAGGAATGTAACTAGCTCATTGTATTAGCTTAGTTAAGCTTGAAGCTAGCGTTACCCAGTGTTAGCATGCGGCTAACATTAGCATGCTAACGAATTGAAAACAATCACATTAGTTATCTGTGTTAAAACTTGCTGCTTTCGTGCTTTTAACACGTCGGACGCTACTTATTTAGGTGACTTATGTGGGGCCATCTTTTTGATATTTAGGTTTGTGAATGTGACATTAACAAACTTAATAGCACTAGTGCCTCGAAATTGACAATGTGCTAGCTAGCTAGCTAAAATTTGGTTATTGGTGCTTCAACACACAACTTGCCGCTTATCTAATCGAGGGGGTGGAAAAAACAAATCATTATTGATATGGAATTAAAATGGACTCAATTAGCGTTAATGGTCATTTCATATAGTAACGAGACAACTAGCTTTTAAAGGTGCAGCCTTCGTCGAAGTGCAGTAGTCGTGACGTTTATATTGCATTATCATTTACTTTCCTATAGTTAAACATATCTCAAAAGATGTTTAAGTCATGTGTTTTCCTCGCTGTGTGTTGCAGATACGATTGCCTCCTGAGGTGAACAGAATCCTGTACGTCAGGAACCTTCCTTACAAGATCACAGCTGAGGAGATGTATGATATCTTCGGGAAATACGGACCGATCCGCCAGATCAGAACGTAAGTGTGTGTTGGCTTTAGCTCTCTGCAGGGTTAAGCACACCAAATGGGCCAAAGGAAGAACAGAAGGTCGATTTCATCATCATTATTGGAGCAACATTCTATTCTAGTGTAACATACAGAATAGGCCGATGCATTTTTTTGGAGTGTGGTCAGTTTTGATTGTGTTATTATAACATGTAATGTTACATAGTGACACATACAGCACCCATCAATTTTGGGGGCTTTTTCAGTGACTTTCCAAAGTTTAAATGGATGCAAAACTACTACTTGATTTCTTGGAGGTGCATGTTATCAGATCTCTCTGCTACTCACATTAGTGATTTAGGAAGGTTACTTTATTGGGACAGCAGGAAAACATCACCTGAAAGATGATGGCCAGATATTTTGAAATGTCGGTATTTCCCATATATGTTTATTTTTTTCACAGTATTATCCTTCCTCCATATAGCAGATTATATACGGCTTTGGTTCGATTGAAATATCTTTTTTTTGTGGGGACGCGACTTATTTTGTTCTTGTCGTCACTTCTTGTGTGTTTTGCTTTTTCTTCTCAGAGGGAACACACCTGAATCCAGAGGAACAGCTTATGTGGTTTATGAAGACATCTTTGATGCCAAGAACGCCTGCGACCATCTGTCAGGCTTCAATGTCTGCAACCGTTACTTGGTGGTCCTCTACTACAACGCAAACAGAGTATGTATGAGCATTACACGGTCTGTAGGTGTCGTCAGGTCAAAGAGCAATAGTGGGATATGCTTTTGTAAAGGTCAAACAGAAAAATAATTTAGGAATTAAAAAAAATAAATATATAGGTGTTTAAAAATACGAACATGTATCTTCATGCAACTATTCCAGATTTAATCAAGTTTTCCCTTTATTTATCAATTATTTTTGCAGGCTTTCCAGAAGATGGACACAAAGAAGAAAGAGGAACAGCTGAAGCTTCTAAAAGAGAAATACGGCATCAACACAGACCCTCCAAAGTAGCGTTCTGGAAAAACCTCATCCGCTCTGTACAAAGCCCATGTTCCTTGCTTTATGCGGATAGTCATTTTACTGATACCGTTGTTAAAATGATCTTTTTTACAATGATTGTGTTGAAATGAGCATTTCATTTTAAATTTTTTTTTTTTGTATTTCCATCATGGGATACGTGTGAACACGTATGTGACTTAACATCGGGGCATGGAGCTAGTGTTCTCAAAACGCTCTCTGCCTGCTTGATATTCCAAACTTTGGTTGGTTGACAGGCCAAACAAACGGATTTCGATGGTGTCTGGTCATAGTATTCATCCTCTTTTTGTTATTCTTCTCACACACCTACAATCTTTAAATGTATAGCTAACCGTGGCCAAACAGTGTGTGACATGAAATCGATTGACCAGTACTGACTATGTAAAGTATATGGTTTCTGTGAAATAAATGCTCCTATTCTAACAGCTGCTGCCTCCTCTCTTATTACACACTGTAGAGGTACTGTAGTGGTAGTGCTGTCCTCTCTGTGAACCCATTCAGACCAATAGACTGTATACATTTGCACAGCGGTTAAGGGGTCTCCTGTTCAGTTAGCCTGAAGCTCTGGTAGTGATGCAATCCCTCGGGTCTGCTGTATTTGTGTGAGGACATAAGCCTCCAAGTGAACCCTGTGACATCAGTGGTGTTGTGGGTAAACACTGCAGCCTCTGTCATCTCCACTGCGAAGACTTACTGGATTCCCACTTGTGTTACTGCCATTGTAAATCCACCTGAAATTATGTTTCCTTGGAAAAATATGAAAATGAATAAACACTTGTTGATGTAGGCATACAGCTATTTCACTAACGTTCTCAATAGGGACATCTGGTGGATGTACAGGGACATTATGTTAGAAATACACAAGCCGTGCATCAGCACAGCCTTTTCAACACCGGCTGTAAGTATTGGTAGGATGCTCATTATATAGCACTGAGAAATCAAAGAAGGAAACAGGATTGTTTGTCTCAACAGGGGAAGTATCTTTGCATGCCCTCTGTTAGTAGTCCTGAAGGTATAAACCAAGCTGTGGATATTGATCAACTATGTGTGGGCAGCGCTGTCAACCTGGTGTCCTCGGTGACACGAAGTCCTCATGCAGACATGCTAGCAGAATGACACACAGGATGCTTTTTATTGAGTAAGTTCATGTTTTCTTAAAATTCTACTTTGTCGCTTTCCACCACTGGGTGAGAGAATTTATCGGATGCCAATATGTTTAAGTGTGCCAACCTCCAGTCAAGGTCAGCGGTTCACAGCCCACACACATGCACCACAGGGGGGGGGGCTTCAGCAGCTGCCAGGGAAATGTGGAGTCGCTCCACTCATTTGAAAAAGGAGGAATTATGATGAAAGTTTATTCGTGGGTGTTTTTGTTAATGTGAGGGTCCTGTTACAGAGGATGCCGTATGCGTACAGATTGTAAAGCCACCCGAGGCTGATTTGTGATTTTGGGCTCTACAAAATAAATTGAGTTGAATTAAATTTATGTTTAGGAGTGAAATAAACATCCACAAATTATTGCAAGTACATCATACAAATAGTTTTAATAGATTTTTAGTAAATTATTGAATTCAAATCTTATGTTTCTATAAAGATTATATGAAAAGCAGTGAGCACGTGAGAAGAACGGTAGAGTTTAAAAATGGATAAACATTTGAAATGGATTGATGAAAATAATGGATAGAACTTGACAAAACCAACCGAAACAGGTCAAATTGAATTGTATGAAAAACTATTTGTATAAAAATCTTTTTGTAGTGTGATGTCAGGTGAACATGTGACGAGTGAACAGACCAGACCAGAGCCCATAGAGTTCCTTTTATTAGATTAAATCACAACACAGGGAGTAGTGCAGCCATGTCGTCAGGGACACAATACATGCTACAAAAGAATCCTTGTACACGTTTGCCTTTGCTTACATTTGGTATCTTGATAGCAGTAATAGTAGTAACAGTTGGGATTAGAAACATTGTCTGGCCAAAGATGTTCATGTAAAGAAGTTCAGATCACAAAGACTGCTGAGACATGACGGGGGACCGGTATGCTGGATCTTTATTGCAATACTGTACGTATGGTGACGTGTCACGTCTCATGTAGCTCTTGGAACACTGGTGGTGTGGGTGCAGGTTGGGGGGGGGGGTAAACGGGGTTATGTGGGCTCACAGGTTTCTTTCCACAATCGTTTTATAGGAGGCGCCGCGCTTCACTGAACTTCTCTACATTTGGAATGCACCAGTACGTGTACAATGCGTGAGAGAAGGGAGTAAAAAAGTACAAAAAGTTTGACTGATTGGTAAGAGAGAAATACTTGGGAGGGTCTCTGAAGGGGCGAATTGTCCAAACTACTAAACGCATGGCTTTACAGTACGGGCTGTCCTCTACGGGTCACTAATGAAAAACCATTCGCTGCTTCAGCACTCATTGACTTCCACTGAAAAAGACGCTCCTCCTCTCCTTTAACGCTCAGAAAAAAACCTCAGAATGAATCGTGTTGATATGCAACCTGCAGGCTGGCCGGAAAAGAAGTGGATGCGATGGTGACACTTTGGTTGTAACTAAGTTTGATAACAATGCTCTCCAACTATGGACGAACGCTTAGATCTTCTCTCTAGTCGAACTCCAGCTGAGTGGAGCTTCGTTCGTTCTCCAGCGAATCCTCATCTCACTTTGCTTCACAAATCTATCAATTTAGCTCTCGTCTTTCAATCTCTGGTACAGGTTCAAAATGGCGGATTCTTCTACATTCAACATCTGCTAATTAGTAATGAGATAGTGTTTAAATGCACGGGGGGGGGGGGGAGACAGGGTTTTAGTTCTTAGCAACATTTACCACAGCTAATGTACAAGGAAACATGCTCCCACAGTTAAAGCAGTCAAGAGAAGACGCCTCGACGGATCACAGGAAGGACATCCCATACCCGACACGTGTAGAAGGACCTCCTGCAGGTCGGCAGACATCTTTTCTCACGGATTCTCCCGAGTGTCAGCGCACTGCTTTCGATAAGGCTTTCTGCCTTCGGTTACAGGATGCAAAACGAGGAGATTGTTTTAAGGCAGAACCTAAAGGCATGCAAATGAACTACGTTTACATCGTTTCACTGGCAGCACAAGCATGTTCTGGAAGGAGACGTTGGACGAACGATCGTCCGTCTCTTCTAAGAGCTATAGCGTTGGAGGCGACGGATAGAGAGTCTTACTGGAGGCAGATACATCATCGTAGGAATTTGGTTCAGTTGATATTACTCGGTATTATGAAACACACACAGCTAGAGTAAGCAAACTCGGAACAATAAATAGAGTAGCGGCGAATTCAACGTAGCACATCACTGATGCGCAAGCTCCGGTAGAATGAGACTGTATGGAAAATACTTTGCACACTTCACATTTTGGCAGTTGATCTTTTAAATAATTTAAATATATATATATATTCATATTTATATTTCTATATATATTATCTGTGCGAGGTGTGTGTGTGTTTGTGTCCGCTGTGAGTGTTTGTGGCGTGCACCCGCACACTGCACTGTATGTTTGTGTAAATCGTTTTTTTTTATAGCAAATAACATTCTCATGCACACGAGTGTTTCAAACACAAGAAGCAGATCCATTGAAAGGTAGTCCAAGCATATATATATATATATATTATTTTTTTTTCAGTGGAAATAGCTGCAAACTGAATGGAACATGAAATTCTTTCTGTGCAGTCCATGGCGGCTGGCGGAGCGCTCTGATCGCCCCCGCCGGCCTATTTCTGGAGGTCGCACTGCAGCAGTAGTACGATGGACGGGTCGCTCTTGGCCGCCTCTTTGAACTCGTCCAGCGAGATCTGGTCGTCGTTGTTCTTGTCCATCTTGGAGAAGATCTTGTCCACCCTCTGCTCGGGCGTCAGGCCGTCCTCGTTCATCTTCATCATGATCACCGTGCCCACCATCTTGTAGATTGCCTGCAAAGGGGGGTCGGAGAAGATGACTTACGTTTCCATCACTTCTTTTCCTGACAGGTGACGCGAGGAATCAAGGGAAATGTGTCAGCACCTGATGTCGGCAGCACAGCTGGATCACAGCTGGATCGCCCGTCGGCCTGCTATCTATAGCGTCTTCTTGATGCTGTGATGTGCCGTCCACATAATAACAGGGCCGCACGCTAACCACAGCCTGAGATATTAGCTATTAGTATTTATTGATTTAAGTACAGATGAGTCCACTGGACTTTTCACTGCTCAGATTTTGAACATGAACCTTTTTTACTGTTTATTAGAAAAAAATCATGCCGATAGACGATCTAATGTGTGTAACTACAATATTATCCATGAGCTCCAAACATCCACTTCTGCCTTTTGTTGCTTGTTTCACATTACATTTGTGTCTCTGCCCTCTGCTGCAGAACCTTCAACTAAGTACAACAAAAAAAAATGTTAGCTCATGCTACCTAATCGTTCCAGTTCAAAATATATATCTGAGAACATTTGGATTGCTAGTCCTCCAATCCATCTAGCTCCCTTAAAGGGATCATTCTCTGCTGTGATACCTGGATGATCTCCAGCATCTCCACCCGCGTGATCTTGCCGTCTCCGTCCAGGTCGTACATGTTGAAGGCCCAGTTAAGCTTCTGCTCGAAGCTGCCCCGCGACGTGATGGACAATGCGCAGATGAACTCTCTGAAGTCGATGGTGCCGTCGCTGTTCTTGTCGAAGGTCCTGAAGGCGTGCTGGGCGAACTTGGATGCGTCGCCGTACGGGAAGAACTGGGACGGGAAAAAAGAAAGAAAACTAACATCACCCAAAAGGAACATCATTTTTCAGCAAGAGATTGGTGTCAAAATACACCACATTTGCCTTAACACCTCCAAAACATGCAGATAACTTCGGTAAAAACTATCAGGTCACTGCACAATTTTGCCAGATCATGAGGTAGTTTGTAATTAAAGGGCAGATTAACAGAAACAGATGGGGCCAATTGGAAAAATAACGGCAGAGAATAATTTGCATTTAAATCGATGGCCATTCATTACCTGCAGTAATTAAATCAACTTTGATTTCCTATTCTCATCTAGTGCTTTTAAGTTCTGCAAATGTTGTCGCCGATCTGTGTATTCACGTGTATGGTTGCATTATTCACACTGCTAGGTGGCTTAGAGAAGTCTTGCTGAATTGCATCATCATGTAGAGTTACCTTGGGAAACTTCTAAATCTACAGCCTGCAGCCTTTCCTGAGAGATGCGTATGAAATTGTAGTTCTAACAACATTTACATTGTATTGGTCCCTGAAGGGAAGTTGTCTTTTCTCTTAGGCGCCTTCACTGGAAGGTCAGGGTCACCGACACAGCAGCCAGACCCGGTGGAGCCACTCACTCAGAAACTCTCACAGTGGGTGCGTCCTGACACTTATACCGTGAATACGAGTCCTCCAGTTACCTCATCCCTCAACACTTCACTCTGCATCTGAAGTGTTATAGCTTCATATCTCTTACAAAGTGTATTAAATGTTCTCCGACGCACATGGGAGTCGTCTCGAGGCTAAATGAGCTTTCTGATTCAAAGGGGCCCGTGGGTCTCACTCTGGTACTATCAATTCCAATTGAATCCCTTTATTTTGGTGTAGTGCTATCAACAGGTCACAATTTAAATTTGTCCTTCACTTTTTACGTTTATTTATCTGCAAAACTATTGACATTCCCATCAGCCTCAGCTGGTGCTAATTAGCAAATGTTAGCATGCCAACATGCTAAACTACGGCGACGAACATGGTAAACATTATACCTGCTGAACTTCAGAGTTTTAGCGTATTGAGCATGTTAGCATGCTGACGTTAGCTTTTGGCTCGGGCTACGGGCTCTTAGGTACATTTTATTAACATTCAAGTCAACTTCACAAGATTTTGCAAAATATACCAAATTCTAAAAATACATTTTCCCTTTGATGTGATTGTCCGGACCAATAGCAGGATTTAACAGGACAGCTAAATCAAGCCAAGTTAACCAAGTGACAAAGGTCAGAGAGTTACAGTGAAGAAGGTAACGATACAACTTTGCCCTTTGCACATGTAAACGGTTGTTGTAAACGGTTGTTGCACTTTGGTGTGTTGATGCCAAAGTCTGCGGCCCCACAACTCTCCTGTATATCATTAAGTAAACGCTACGGATCAACTGTGATCTGAGAACTTAAAACCCCACTGAGTGCAAACCAATGTCATCACTGCATCCCTGCGCTACATGTGCACGAGATCAGAGGCTAATGCAGTGACCCTGTGGATGAGCACTGAGCCTCTGCTCACCCTGTGGGTGCTCACCAGAAGCCGAGTGACTCATTGGATATAACCTTCCACTTGACCTCTCTGGAAAAAACTCTAAGGGCTGATGGGTAATCTAAGCTCAGCGAGGCGGCTCTCAGCTTCCATTAAGGAAAATAGAACAAACTGGGAGACATATCCATTCTGTTATCGTTTGAGGGAATGTCTTATAGTTTACCTTGATGCAGTTTTGTTGCTGAGCTCACACAAACCACTCATGGTTTGATGTATGGGAACTATAAATTCAACAACTCTTACGTAAGCAAAGGAATCGCTGAAAAAAGAGAATCAGGTGCTCTTGAACTTTGTGTTACGTCTTAGGTTTTGTTTGCTCATATTCAGCGAACGCTGCGAGCATGAATTTATTAAGTCAAGGTGAATCAGCTCAGAGGACATTAAGTACTTTCAGCATTTAATATTTCATCTGCCAGCAAATGTCATCAGATCCTGCTTTTACAATGAGTAAAACGTGATTTAAACTAGAAAGGTGCTCTCAGTAGAGTGCAACGACCACAGCTGTATTGTGTGATTGAATGAATACAACCATCATCTGGCTAACCCACCCACCCCCCCTTCTAGACAACAACAGGCTGTAAGGCGTAAAACAGGTCTTACAATCTTGCCAGAAGAAAACCAAACTCGCTAAGCTGTCTGCCCGTGTAGCAGTGTCTGAGAGGTGGCGATTTATTCACTGCTACATCCGTTAGCTGTTAGCCAAACGCATAGTCCAAAACACTAAAAGTGAGGAAACTGTTCCCGCCCCTCTTTGTCTTTGGTTGCAGAGTAGCGGCTGTGGGTCGCCGATGCACACGGCTGTGTTATCACCAGCAGCAACTAGAGTAGTGAGTGTGGAGTCAGCAGGCAGTAAATGGCAGTATAACACAGGCAATAAAAGGTGTTTTGAGAAAGTGAGAGTCACCGCAACAATGAGAGCTCCTTGAACACGCAGCCATAACTGACCACTCATAATATGATGCAGTTTGCTGCAGCGGAAGGCGAGGTTAGCCGTGGACAGACACAGAGGTGCACACTCACAAACGACTGCGCAACCGTTCAAATAATCCTCCTGGCAGTGATAAAAAAGTAATTTTTGAGCCACACAGTTGCTTATTGATTTCACACCCAGTAGTTCTGAAGCAACATTTATTTGAAGTCATGCTTGCCACCTGGAGAATATAAAGCATGTCCAGTATTCCCTTTCTTTAAGTTCTGTTTTGGTCTCCACCAACATCTGAGGGAAATAGCTGTCTCTTTAGCTGCTAAATGCTCAACTATGTTCACCAGCTAGTTGCTGGTGAACATAGTTGAGCTGTTGGCTGTTAGGTTCTGGACAGGTAGCATTCAGTGAGTTTTTAGAGATTTTTTGGTGCCAGTTGCATCTGGAAACGATGAGAGCTTCAAGAGCGAATCAAAACAGTACATTTGGTGGTTGTACAACCAAAACAGAATTAACTTTCCTGAAAGCTGAGGCGAACTGCAGAGTTAGTTGATTGTTATCAGTGGTTTCATCACTAAGAGCAACCCCTTTTCCAATAATCAATTTTATCCATAATTAATAGTTTGATTATGGCAGCTTTAAACTCCTCTGCTGCAGTTTCATGCAGCGAGCAATTGGAGGCACATGTACGTTTGTTTCAGGCGGTACGAGACTGAGTCCTTGTGCGCGGCAGACAGTGTCGTCATACGGGCAAAGAGAGAGGTGAGGACGCAACCTCAGCCTCTCGTTAGAGCAACCGCCCCAGCACGCATAAACTGTCTGGTGTCACGATGCGGGGGAGGTCGAGGCCATGAATCCTGATGTTAGGATGAGGAGAGAGTGCAGTGGATGGAAGACAAAAAGAGAGAGGAGGGAGAGGAAGAAACAGAGAGAAAGAGGAGGAGGATGAATAAGACAGGGTTAGATCGTGAGAGTCGGTTCGTGTTGCAAAACTGCCTGTCTGCAATGAGGTCCCACCCATGTGAATTCTGCTGCAGTAGAAAAGTAATCAGTCTGCAGTGAGGAGTTAACAGACAGAAGAGAATGTGTGTGTGTGTGGGGGGGGGACTTAGAGAGAGAGGAAACGAATAAGGAGATGAGGAGAGAAAACAAGACAGAAAAGAGATGGAGGAGACTAAAATGAGTGTGACAGAGAGAGTGTTAGAGGGAGTGTGGCAGCGATTGAGCTCCATCCCTATCTGGCCTTCTGCTCCGGAGAAACCGGGGGGGGGGAGGGGGGGAGAGAAAGACACTGCGGCTCCTCCTCAATCTGGCAAGTTATGAAACACTTTGTTCCGTAAAAAAAACGGAGAGAAGAAAGAAAGAAAAGTGGGACAGGGTGACGAGACGGTGAAAATCCTCCATCTTTCTTCAGTTCATCTCGTCTGTCGTTGTTGGACGTCAGAGAACTAGACTGTCGAGGACGAAACCGTCACTAGGTGTGACAATTACCATCACGACAGAAAAATAACCAGTCTGGACTTGAAGCCTTGACAGCTACGGATATTAGGCTGTTAACATTTCCATTAAGTCTCATTTCTTTCCTGATTTGGCTCCCGTTTGCCGTTACGGGTGTTTGACATGGTCATCAGAGGACAGGCTGAATGCCAGCTTCTGTCCACCCGGTGCAGAGCGAGGCGGATGGGCACAGCTCGCTTAATAAGGCTAATGTCAGTGTTTGTGTGGGTCGATGAGTGTGTGGCGAAGCCTGTTCTATCAAACCCACCCCAACCTCCACACACACACACACACACACACACACACACACACACACACACACACATGACCCAAAACATGCTGCCATTAAATGGGCCATTAAAGCCTTCATAATCGGACTGCAAGCTGGCTCTGGTGCTGATCCAAAAAGCGAGAGAGGGAAAGCCAGAGAGAGAGAGAGAGAGGAGGGGTAGAAGCAAGGGAAGAAAGGAGAAGAGAGGATAGAAAAAGTGGAACGGGGAGGAAAGAGAAGTGAGAGAAGTAGCGCGGAATAGAAAGTCACACTTAGACGAATGCCTTTCACACTAACAGAGCAGTGACTGGCTGCAAGATCATAGAGCTGATGAATAATAAGGCTCACTGCGAAACGGCACAGAGCAGTGATTCAACAGCAATCAGGCTCATCCGGAACAGAGTGACTGATGACTTGTGTGTGTTCGGTTTGAAAATAACTTCAGAGTTAGGCAACAGCAATGTTGGATCCAGATCAGTGCTCAGCGGCCCTGCCCGCTCCGCCAGCTCTTCGGATAACAGTTAAGCTGGACGGACATCTTGTTGCTTGAAAGCTTCCAGTGATGAGCTCGCAAGGGTCAGGATTTAAATGCCATGAAGATTTGTTTGCTACATGCACAGTCTGTTGCAGTCTGGGGAGCTGCAGATTGCATGTAACTGGATTACAGTTATGTGAGTAGTAGAAAAATAGTTTTATAATGGTAAATATAAAGCCTTTATAAGTGTAACTGATCTGAGGAAGCCTGCAGTAA